AAATAGATTCTGTCTTAAAATATTTAAATTGAATTTAGAAGATTACCTGTTGTAACATACCTGTTTCAATAGCAGAAAGCATTTTTTAGTTCCTGATCGTTAGCAAAAACTAAACAAAGACCAAAGGAAACATTTTCACTTGATTCACCATGAATAATTTTGCCTTACTGCTAGTTTTCATCTTGAAATGTAAGCCAGATATATTTCATCATTAACCTTTTGAACAAGGCCAAGTATAATTGGCAATTCTCCTGAAAAATCCATTTGTCTGTATTATGCCATTCCTTTTATAGAAGAAATAATTGTCATTTTTTTGTGTACTTTTTTTTTTTCAGCCAACCTTTGTAAAAGATCAGAAATATTATAAAGCCCCTAAATGATATCCTATTTCAGCTAGGTTTGCCAAGCAACAATTTTTGATTTCATTTAGAAGTATTTCAATATGATCAATGTCAAAGAGGAGTACAATTTAGAAATTTTGTAAAAACAATGAGTTTTAGTACATTGAATTCACACCCTTGTCTCTATTTAAGCCTGACAACAGGTGCTCAAGCTATCTCTTAACATACCATAACACACAACTGAGACTTGGAAGTTGTGCCATGGCATACACCTATCTTGTCTGAAATCACCTACTGTCAGTAATAATGCCCTTTGTTTACTGAAGAGCTAATCAAAAATTTGGCCAGCTGTAACTGGAATTGCCTTTTAATATCTTAGCTGTCAACCTGCAAGTATGTCTTTTTGACAGTATATTTGCAGGAATATATATGACATAGTAACAGATAACAGAACAGCCTTAACATCTGGAGAAGAGACTAACTTCAATCAAAATGAAGGATGATATGTTTCAGTACTTTCATGACAAGTGGGAGAAGATTTCAGAGAAGGGCTGCATTAAGATTGTTAATGGTCCTTACTTACTGAATCACCATCTTTTGCATCTCCCCACCCCATTCCCCCATTGGTTGCTTGCTGATTGCTGAATATTTGCCCTTTTCCTCTTATCATTATTTAATACATTAAAAAAAAAATCACCATCAGGGACATAATTTTTATTTCACCTATTAGTTATTCTTCTGCTGAGTACACTGTTCACTAGTGGGTACTAGCATGCTGTTTTACAGTAGAAATGACACAAAAGGGGCACACATTTTCATTATAAATGCAATTATCAAGTCAGTGGTTGATGGTTTACTGCTCCTTTGGCCCCCCAAATAATATATTAGACAGAAGCTGCAGTAATATGTTTTGATACTTCTGTCTTATTCCGGCAAACCTTTAAAGTCCATGGGAGTTTTACCCTCGACCTCCTCTTGAGCTGAATATAGAGAACTTAGTTGGTGGAATATCGCTAGCACTTAGAGATCTACAGATAAAAGCCACAAGAGTGGAATTAGATATTACCACTTTTGGCATTGCTTTCAGTTCACCTTAAAATACTCTTTTGGTACTGTATTTGCCCATTTTTGGCTTCTTACATTTCTGAATGAAATCCAGGCTGAAGTGTAAGTCATGGAAAGCAGTTGCTATAAAGGTGCTGTGTCAGTGGCCTCTGAATTTTACCACTTTTTCTTAAAAACCTAGAATGAAGTGACTTAGTGGTCCATCAGTCTATCAGTTTGGGAACCCTAAATCTCTTTTAAGATTTCAGTTTATTTCCCCCAAAGAGTATACATGCACACAAAAGATAAATTGATGTATCATCATAGCTGACCTGAATATCTTAATTGATTGCATCAACAGGCAGGGATTTAATTGGATGGATCTGACACCTACTAGTTCTGGCTTTTACCTATTAGAAGGTAAATTGAGGAGAAGTAAATCTCTGAAGTGCTGCTTCTGTCTCCTGGAGAAGAGGGAAGGTAGGGTTAAAAGGAAACTTTGTTTTCCTCAATTTTCATATGTCATTTGCTTAATGTGGAAAGAAAGTGTTCACAGATTGAATTAGCTCATCATTTATAATACATATGTTTAATCCAAAAGTATAGTTGGATGGTGGTATAACAATGAAGTAAGTTTGCTATTTAGTTATTTTGTTATATGGAAAAGAGAGAGTTTTCTGAAGAAGCTATTAACTATCTGAACAAATCCAGACTTGATGGGTGCATCCAGGTTGTTGGCTTTAGTATGTATCTGTCTTAAAAGGCTCATGGGATGAGAAAACAAATACTTTTATATCAATCCAATTATGCTTTTTTTTTTTCCTTTCTTTCTTTCTTTCTTTAAAGCTGTACCTAGAAGCCATTAGGTATTAATTTCTGACACTAATAAGAATACGCTTGTAACATTTTTACTACCCCCTTTTTGGAGGGTTTTCTGTCTTAGAAATAAATAAATAAACACTACTGTCTAGTGTTATTAGGGAAAACAGAACATTAAGATTTCATATAATTTTATAACCAATTAGATTAAGCATTTTAGATTCTTAACTTTCAATGTAAGAATTACATGAATCTTTTTGATTGCAGGATACATCTGTTCTTCTGCCACAGAGAATTCCCTTTAAAGGGTCTGAAATTAATCCTCTAGAGACTAATGCATTGGTGTGTCCAATATTGCAATAGTAGGTCAATGGCAAAATTGAGAAGAAAAATTATCATCTCACTTGTCTTCTTCAGACATCTTCATCATTGTTTGAATGTATTTAGTGCTGCAAAAATATATTGTCAAACTTCTAATATAGGGAAAATGAGAAAACAAGGCATTAACTTAATGCCCACAAGTAAGGATAGGAACACAGTCTATATTTTGCTGAAATATGCCATTTTTATTATTTTTGAGTTTAGTTGTATTTGTACGAAAATGTTACGGATACATTAAGAACACTAATCCAATGTACATCATACTGTACTACATCTTCAATCAATTCACGTTTTATGCATGTGAGAGTATGCAAGCACAAGAAGCAGAGATACACTCAGCTCAGTACTTAAGATAGCACTACATTCTTCATCTGATACCTACTACCTAAAACGATATAACTTATGCTTGTGTTATTTCTTAAAGGCAGAATTCCTTTATAAAAGGCTGTAGAAAGCCATTTCCAATATGCTTGGTTCTAAGACAGCATTAACTTCACTGAACAGTGAAAGTAAGAGGAATCACTCATCTTGCCTTAAGGTCATGATAAAACTATAATCTGTTTATTGATAATTTTGCAGCCTTGTAAAGTGTTCTTTTGTGCCATAAATTTTACTGAGGTGTGTCTGGTGTGTATATATATTTATATATAGTATGTTAATTTCTCTGCTGTTTAAGCAGGATATAAGAAGATAAAATAGCCTAAATAGAATAGCTTCTTACAGTATTGTACACCAGTTAAAGTCAACTGGAACCCAACAGATCAATAGTTAAATACCATTAAAAACTATTTTGAGAAAAAAAAAAAATATCATAATTGACTTTACCATATGTTTCATTCTCTTACTACACTATCTTCAGAGTGAAACACAATCACTGTTCATAGGGAGTCTAATTGACTGTCAGTTAAGGCCTCAGTAATTGATTTCTTGACAGCTGGTAATATGTCCATTGCCGACTGCATTAAAATATATGCTTATCCACTGGAGAAAGATGGGAAGCAGAGCTCACATGTTCACCAAACAGTACAAGTAGCAACAACTGCCTTCAAGATAGCTTTCTTGCACATGTTGCTTCATTTTCAAATCTTCCTCTTTGCCTACTTAATTCTTGAACATTTCAAAGCTCAAACAGTGAAAAGAGAGCTTTGGTTTTTGCATTCTCTTTTTATTCTGTAGCTTTGGCTTTTGTGCTCTCTCTGCAATTAATATCTGAAACTATGTTCAGACAATCTTGTGATTTTTGCCTGAAAGTTTGTTGCAAACTTTGTGTGTAGCTCTGCTGAGAAATCATGTATGTATTGACTAAATTTTGAGTTTGTTAAAGTAAGGACCAAGGAGTATATGGAGTGAGAGAAGATCTGACTTGAAAGCCCAACACTGCACTGGTAACAGTTCTTCCAGATTATAAAACTGGTCTAATTTTTAAGGTTTAGACCAAAAAGAAGCAATCAGTTTCCCAGATGAGCTCTATTTCACCTCCTCAATTTGTTTCTCTCATGCTTTGGTTTTCTGTGAGAGCCAGCATGTGCTGTTTTTAAACGTTAATGCCTTTTGCAATGTAACTGCTGTAAGAACTACTTTGTATATGAAGATTAGAAAGTCAAAACTCATTTAGCTAGTGAGTGACAGAGGGAGAACAGAAATATAATGAAAGAAGTTTTGTGGGTGCTCTTGAATATTAAATAAATATACAGCAAGAATGCTTGATTTCAGAGAACAGGAAGGACAAAAACATCTTGCTTTAATTTTAACAAATAATTTTATATAATTAAAGAAATTAAACTTCATTGAGACAGAGAACAGATAAAGGATGTTGATTCTGTAGGTCTTAGCTAACACAATTGTATGTTAACGACCCCAGAAATAAGGGAGTAGAAGTCTGTATGCATAGATAATGGAACCAGCAAGAACTGGCTTGACTATTGAAGTCTGTCAAAGAAGGGAAAGGTCATAAGTTTAGCAGTGAGGAAGACTTCTGGTCTTCATCAAAAGATGACCGGAGTAGGCCAGACAACCACCCAAGGACTCCAGTACGCATGCAAATATGGGATGGAACCTATGTTAATGATTCTTCAGAGACCTGATGAATATGCAAGAGATTTATGGGAAATTAAATGAATATGTATATATCCCATTAATATAAGTACACTTCCAGAACCATTGGTGTGTGTGTTAGGTGGAGCAATCCCCCACACACCCAGTTCTGTAATAAAGAATAACTGCTCAATGAGTTTAGTTATTGAGTTTTCACTGAATCACCATGAAGGGTTCTAAATGGTTCTAATGGACAATACCAGTCTTGAGCTACTTTCTGGTGACTGGTTGTGTTGATTCCCACAGTAATTAATTTTATCAATAAATACACGCTGCTGAAAGGTTTCTTAATTGTAACCATTTCAATCTTGCTTCCAACAGTTCATCACTGTGTGAGCTGAAGACCAATCTACTGCCCAGTTCTGCAAAAGCTTAGTAGAAAATTTACCATCCTACTTCAAGCTCTGAAGAGTGTGAATTTCTTTAAGCTCTAATTTTTCTCTTTATAAAATTTGTTCTAATTTTATAAACTGTATATGTTCTAATTTGTTCACAGACATAATGTGAATTGAATTACTTAAAAGGTCGAAAGTGTGTTTGTTTTTCTGCATTAAAAGAACATATCTGTCTGTCTATCTTGTTCTCCATCACAGAAGTATTTATGGCCTTTGGCATTATTATACACAAAGGAGGAAATTAAAATGTTTCTAGTGATTGTTCATTCTTGTTAGGCAACTACAACAACATTTTTCAGTACTTCTTGGTCAGTAATAAAGACTGCTGCATAGCTGTGAATCAATAGATGATTGGTGTAGCCTTTTCTTTTAATTGTCACCATCTCTACTACAGATAGATCAAATCTTTTTTCTTTGGCTCTTAAGAAAGAAATCGCCACAATAATAGAGCAGTCTTTAGTTCTTTTTTTTTTTTTTTTCCTCATCACACCAGCATGTGCATCCATCTATCACTATTGTAATGTGCTTTTGAGGTGTGAAAAGCTATTTGGTACACGTTCTCAGTAACTACCTCTGCATAATAGGAACACCAGAATTGAGAGTACTTTTCATTCACTGAACAACTGGAATACTTAGTAGATGAATAAATGAGCTTTTTAAGCAAGAACATCAGAGAAGAGACATATAAGATATTAAGAACCATAAAAATAATTTTCTAAATAATCTCTTCATGTTTATTTAATTAAACTATATGTTTTGATGACTCTAAATATTCAATATATTGTTAGATACTTACTTTCATTTTTTTTCCACATACAGAAAACTTACATGCTTTACTTCTCTTTGTACCAACTGCAGTGCTGAATACAGCAGATTGTGACAGTAGCTATGTAACACCAACCATCTTAAAAGGTAATAGCAAAAAGAAATCTGTCAGTTAAGTACTGTCTTAGCAATTTTGTCCTTAAGGCCCAAAGAGTTTCTAATTTCTTTGGAACAGCATATACTTCTGTGTAAAATCAAATGGGTTATCTAATCTTCTCCTTGCCTTGTCTGATCCAAGACAAATTTTGCATTGTATCTAGATATTTTTGTGGAGTTCTCTGTGTGTTCAAAGAACCGATCTGTGATCTTTCTGTAAAAATTACAACCTATGAAATCAAATGTATCTGGTAAAGATTTTAATCTTGTGCTCTGGGACAGAAGTAACATCTGTCACTCTGTCAGAATAAATGCCTACATCTTAATGATTGTGCTGACCCGTTACATAGATATTTCTATACCCTGAATGGCAGGCAGCTGTGCTCTTTGAATATAGTGCCAGAAGCAGTAGGAAAGGGAAAGATGGGGCAGAAGATATCCCTTCTATCACACTGTGTACAGGATCAGAATATTTAGTATGTAATGTTTTGCTAAGTGAGCTGTTCCACCCTCTTCTTCCCTTAGGATCAATTTAAGATGAATACTGTGTCTAGAAGGAAACACCTTTTATTCCAGAGAAAAGAAATGCGGCCTTACAGTAATATGTATTTTTCATTTTGCAAGTAAGTGCTATTTTTCAATATTTGGGATATTAGCAGAGAGAAGTGCTGGGCAAAGAAAGCCAATATTCTTTAAAGTATACATTGCTGTGATCCCATTCTTTCATGACTGCACATTTTCCCTTTCTAGCCAAATTAATGTATTTTAATGTTTTGTGTAATTCTATGATTCTACTGCTGTTTTATCAAAGCAACAATCACTTTCTGAGAGATGATACTTGCTCAGCTAAGAGGAGAGTCTGTGTGCATGTCTGTATGCCCTACCCAGCTGGGTGGCTATGAGTTGCACTCTCATGTGCAAAAGAAGAAGAAAGAAGACCTACTTTACAGAAACTGGAGTTATCCAGATACATTGAAGACTTTAGTGCAGGATGAAATGACTGCTGCCTCTAAATCTAGTCATCTTGAAGTTCATTGGATCCTGCCACTTTACAGCTCTCAGTCCAGTAATGGCACCTGGGTTTGTTTGTCTAGTCATAAAGGAAGTCTACTCTGCTTTGTTGTTTTACCCTTGCTAGTTCCTACACACATAAGTGTACAGATGTTGAACCCATTTCAGTGAAAAACATACTGAGCTCAAACTACACACTTGTGACTAGTGTTTCAGTTGTAATATCTTACATTTTATAAAAATTCTTTCATCTGGGAGGCTTTGAAAGCTGCTTACATCATGAAGGCTGCAAATTATTTCTAAACAAGGTCTTACTACTTGCAAACTTAGATGTTATTTTGTAAAGTAAGATAGATTGAATTATTACAGTCAAATCTTTAATGTTACTCTTGTTTACAGCACACTTCCCTTAACAATAAATCTCCAAGCCCGTGGGCACTTTCAATTACTGCATCTTCCTTGCTTAGCAAAGGAACTCATAAACTTCTCTTTCTGTCAGACCATCTTGAAAGATCTTTGTATGTAATGCAGACTGTGTTTCTGATGATGTTTATATAAAGAAAGACTTATTAAATGGATATCTTGTGGGGTTCACCCCTCCTTGTCTGTGACAACAGTAAAAAAGTGTTAGACAAGCTCTGGCGACAGTGCTGAGTTTTCTTTGGTAGTCTTAATTAATAGGTACTAAAAAAAAAAAAAGTGTAAAAAATGTGTAAAAGGGGCAGGAAATGCAATGGAACTCTTTAAAAATGGATCCTTAATGTTTAAGACTTTCATGATGTATAAAAATGGCAATTATCCCCAATATAAAGACTTTCAAATGTACAGCAACAAACTTCTCAGTATTTCAAGTTTTATGAATTTTAGAGAAACCCAAAGATGCAGCTGTAAAGGCATAGATATCTCTCCTGCAGCGGAACTTATGACATTATTTGAAAAGGTGTCATGTTTATGTAAATAGTTTCTTGACCTACACAGATGGCAGAGAAAGATTCATGCTCATTTAACAGATGTAAAAACAAGGTATGCACAGGAAATGAAATTCAAATTTCACAAGTGTCTTTCTTTTCTATAACATTAAAAAAAAAAAAAAAAAGAAAAAAAAGAAAACATGGAAGAGGTAGAAATAACAGCTCACAACTCCTAATAGTTTGTCCTTCTAAACCCTGAATATTTTCACAGAATAACAGTTGGCTGAGGTTGGAAGGGCCATTTGAAGATCATCTAGTCCAGCCCCCCTGCCGAGCAGGATCACCTAGAGCACGTTGCGCAGGATCACATCCAGGAGGATTTTGAATATCTCCAGAGAAGGAGACTGCACACCCTCTTTGGGCAACCTGTCCCAGTGACAACCCTCTCAGTAAAGAAGTGCCCCCTCATATTGAGCCAGAACCTCCTGTGCTTCAGTTTGTACCTGTTGCCGCTCCTTCAATTGCTGGGCACAACTGAAAATAGACCATCCTCTCGATACCCCTCAGATATTTATACACATTGATGAGGTTTCCCCTCAGTCTTCTCTTTTCCAGGCTATCCAGGCCTAGTTCTTTCAGCCTGTCCTGGTATGACAGGTGCTCCAGTCTTCTGATCATCTTCATAGCCCTCCTCAGAACTTGCTCCAGTAGTTCTATGTCCGTTTGGTACTGGGAAGCCCAGAATTGGACACAATACTCCAGGTGTGGCCTTACCAGGACTGAGCAGAGGGAAAAGATCACGTCCCCTGACCAGCAGGCAACACTCTTCTGAATGCACCTCAGGATACCATTGGCCTTCTTGGCCACAAGGGCATGTTGCTGACTCATGCTTGGCCTGCTGTCCACCAGGACTCCCAGGTTCCTCTCTGCACAGCTGCACTCCAGCAGGTCAGCCCCCAGTCTGTACTGCTGCTTGGGGTTATTCCTCCCTGGGTGCAGGACCCTGTACTTGCCCTTACTGAACTTCATGAGGTTCCTCTCAGCCCAGCCTTCCATCTTGTTGAGGTCCCTCTGACTGGTAGCACAGCCCTCTGGGGCATCATCCATGCCTCTCAGCTTTGTTTTGCTAGCAAAATTAATTGTAAGATTGCAAGAAGCATGGTGTGTTTTGAATAGAAACCATTACCAACTCACACCCAGTGAGTCAACAGAAAAAAGAAAACAAAGCCCATAAAATGAGAAATGCCATGACTCATGTTTTCTGTTAGTTTCATAGCTAACTTCAGAAATCTGAGCTTAGAAGCAACCATTGATACAGTAAGTAGAGTGACAAAGGAAACTGGAGACATTCATCATTTCTTAAAATCAGTCCAACATTACTTACTTAAACGTCTCTTAGAAAACTATTTGTAGGAATGCTCATTGGAAATGTTGATGAATATTGCCAGTGTCATGCTTAGCTGTTAAAGTAATAGCATATAATCTTTTATGCCTCTGTTTAAAAATATTCCTTAAAATAAATAACAATTGAAATATATGAAGCATACAACTCTATCACAAAACAACTCCAATCCCATTTTGTAACAGTAATGGGTAGATTGCAGCAGGCTTCACAGATTAAAAACATTTTTTTCTGAATTGGTTTCCTATTTGTCAAACAGGATACAAAGTACAGGCTACCTTTCCATATGTGGTATATTAAGGTATAAACTCTACTTCTGGTAAGCAGTCCACATCCCTTTGTCATTTTGAGTGTCAAGTTTAACTGTCTCCATATACATTTGATATACTGACCCCTATAAATCTGCAGGTATTTAGTATCATAATGTGATATTTGACACCTAAATTTCAAATGTAGAAAGAAATTATATGTTAGAATAAAAAATTATATCACTCTGCCATCCCTGCGAAAGGTATACTAGCATCCATGAGAAAAGAATATTCTTGATTTGATAAAGTTTAAATACAGATAAGTTCATATTAAAAATAAAAATATGGAATCTATGAAAATGATAATGGTTACATCAAGAGTAATACATATGTGCTTCTGACATGTGGAAATATTAGACCTTTTTGTGCACAAGTAATGTCTATAGTTTGCTTTTAAAGATTTGATTTGATAAGAGTGCTTCCTTTTTCAGTTCTTTTTTACATTCTTAGCAATTAAATTATATGGGCAGGCAAGCCTGTCCTACAATATATAGATTTGATACCTCAGGCCTGGCAATCTGAGTCAGATACTGCAAATAAACTCTTGAAATTGAAAAACTGCCATTGGTTCATATCCTCAGACCTATTTATGAAGTGTTGTGAGGATGTGGAGGGGACAATTCAACAAGAACTGTGACTCCAAGGGCAGAGAATTTAAAAAAAGAAAAGGATGGGTCCTGCAATTAATTGTGTTTGAAAGTGTTAATGCTGGAAACAAAAGCTTTCGTAAATATGAGAACTAAAGGAAGGTGAAGGCCTGAAAAGAGCTTTGCACTGTTTTTTGTATAATTGGGTTGACTTTGGTTAGTTCATCACAGGTGCTGTGGTGTATATGGCCAATTAATATTATTTCCCTACCTTGCTCTGCTCTTCTGCTGCACTCTTCAGGCTTCCTAACAATGATAACCTAACACCAAGATGACCTCTGAAAGTATTGAGCCCCAGTCCTTTTGTCAGTTTTTTTTTATACTAAAGTTCCAATGATTTGAACTTAGGAAAATTGACCTTCTAAGCCTATATGAATGAAACGTCTTAGGCATTTGGTGAGCTCCTAGTTATGGCACTAACTGGATCCTGATAGAACTTAACATGCCAGAGCTCCTCTTCCTGCTTGAAGACCTTTCATTCCAAGTGACTGAATGGGTCACAAAAGTCCCAGCCACAGTGGTCAATATAATTTATCCAGTGCTTTAAAATCAGCATTTTGACTGTAGGCAAGGGAAATTTGAGCACTGTTCCTTGTGATAAGAAAAGGAAAGAACAAAACTGGTAAAAACAGTTTATTTCTATTAAATTTCAATGTCTTTAATTTCCATTAAGTTTCAATGAAGTAGCATATTTTGGCAAAAGTTAATGTTGCTGAAATTTAACCAATTTATGCAGATTGACAGTTCCAGTTACTAAAAGGGGACCACAAGTGAGAGTAAGGGGTACAAGGTTTGAATAATGAGTCCTTGCAATGAACATTCCTTCTCTGCAGAGACATTGCTTGGAAGGATGTCTGACCTCTAAAATACATTAATCGTCTGCCTCTGATGTAAATCCATTTCAGAGGGAAAACGTTCACACGTTCACTGTTGCCTTTCATGCAATACATACAGAAGGGCAATGATAAATTTTGTTCTTTTCTGCTTATTTATGACGAAAATTAATTTTGTATGTAAGTAAAGGTGTTTTATAGAATTATTCTTTGTCAACAGAATGTATGGTATATCACTTGAGGTACATATATCTGTGTTTTGAGGGTGACACCTGCTAAAAATGACCTCCATCTAAAAAATTAGATTTTGGATACAAAACTAATATTTTCTAAAGCCAGATGTTTGAGTGACAATACAAAATTAATCTTAACAAGCAGATCACTTCATAACTGTTGAGAGCATTTGGCAACATTTTAAACTGAGTGTTAGAAGAATTAAAATTCCTTTGGCATAATTTTGATAATATGGATTAGCAGTCTGATCTATCACCCATTCTAGGAAAAACTACAGCACTTTCCAAATAAATTAAATAAGGGGGGGTGTCACTCAGTACTACAAAAATAACATTGTATTGCACTTGATTTAAGATAAATCTTAAATTCATAAACTGGAAAATAGAAAGAAAAAAAAGCTGAATGTGCTTTAATCGGATAAATTAATATGCTGATAATCTTGACAAAAAGCATGATCCAGATATCCTTCAAGTTTAATGTTCGTATTTAATGACAGCTAGCAGCTACAACAACTGAGTGACTGTAGTGGGTTTACGTGGCAAAGTTTTGGTAGCAGGGGGCCATAGAGGTGGTTTCTGTGAGAAGGATCTAGAAGCTGCCTTATGTTTGGTAAGGGCCCCACTGTTTACCAGAGCTGAGCCAATAAGCGATGTTGTTTTGCACCTCTGTGACACCATATTTAAGACAGGGAAAATAAATGCTACACCACACAGCAGCTGGGAGAGTGAGAGGAGTGAGGAACAGCCTTGCAGGCGCCAAGGTCAGTGCAGAAGGAGGGGGAGAGGTGCTCCAGGCGCCGGAATAGAAGTCCCCTGTGGCCTGTGGTGAGGACCATGGTGAAGCAGGATGTCCCCCTGCAGCCCGTGGAGGAGACCACGGTGGAGCAGGTGGCCCTGCACCGACGGAGGCTGCCGCCTGTGGAAGACCCCTGCTGGAGCAGATTCCGGGCCGGACCTGTAGCCCGTGGAGAGGAGACCATGCAGGAGCAGGTGACCTGGCAGGAGCTGCTGCCCATGGGGGAGCCAGGTTGGAGCAGTTTGCTCCTGAGGGATGGACCCCATGGTAAGGACCCATATCTGGAGCAGTTCTGGAAGAGCTGCTATCTGTGGGAAGCCCACGCCGGATCAGTTCATCAAGGACTGCATCCCGTGGGTGGGACCCCACAGCACAGGGGACGAGAGTGACCGAGAAGGAGCGGCAGAGAAGAAGTGCTGTAGGCTGACCATAACCCCCATTCCCCCGTTCCCCTGCGCCGCTTGGGGGGAGGAGGTGGAAGAGGGTGGATGGGAGGGGGGGAAGGTGCTTTTGGTTTCTTTCCTTTGTTTCTCACTTCTCTAGCTTGTTAGTAATAAGCAATAAATCTTACTATCTCCTTATGCTGAGTCTGTTTTGCCCATTACAATAATTACTGAGTGATCTTCTCGTCCTTATCTCAACCTTTGAGCCCTTTTCATCATATTTTCTCCCCATTCCTCTTTGAGGAGGTGGAGTGAGAGAGCGGCTGTGGTGGAGCTCGGCTGCCCACTTGAGCGGAACCACAACAGTGACATAGGATGACACTTCCAGCTGTAAAAAGACAAAGTTAGCCCATCATGAAATCGAATCTTAGCAGTTTCTTCTTCTTCATATCCTTGTAAGGAACAGCAAGATACTTGCCTTTTTAAATAACTCTCAGATCCAATTATTTAATATTTATTATTTAATATTTAGAATTATTTAATAGTAAGAGATGACAAATGACATTAAACAATTATAGTAACTGCCAAAATAATGCAATTTCCTACT